AATATATACCTATCACTAAAAATATACCCTATCATACAATACATCCCTATCACTACACTGAAGAATACTGCCATCACTGCATTATACCACCGTACATTTAATACCATTAATAAACCATACCACGGGCGGGATTTGAACCTGCGGTCAGAGTCTCAAAACTCCAGATTGCACTACCATCATTACACTGTACAACCATTTTCACATTAAATCACTATCACTACACTTCTTCACCACTACACTATAATTCCTAAATTACAAACACCTTACTACTTCATAACCACCACACCACACTAAACTACACCACCAATAATATTATTCATCTTTACCTCATAACCCGGCTCACCTTCATAACTATAGTTATCACAAATCTTAACTAAACTCACTCACTTCAGAGCAGTAACTAGCTTCACTATATTAACTTAATGGCATATGTGGGGCTGTTCAGAAAGCTGTCTCTTGCATTCATCTAAAAATCTACGATTAGACTTTGACTAACTGTTGTTCTTATTCATTATGGATTCCGAGAATCAGTTTGAATACCTCAAGTATGACCGCTTTGAAGCTCGCTACTTGAGAGGAAAAATGGAATACCTGGGAGGAGGGATGACAGGTGATGCCTACCTCATCGAGCCTAAACACACCTGTGGGACTCAATATGTAGTCAAACTGGGCAAGTCTGATTTTCAACTTCAGAAATACAAGTCAGAAGCTTCCAGACTGCGATATCTGTCTGGAGCTGGAGGGTGTCCTCGCCTGGTAGCAGTGTGTAAGGATGTCCCAGCCTTCGTAACCACCTTTGAATGTAAACACACTCTTGAAAACTTTTTAGCCAACTGTGGAGCCAGGGAAGCAATGGAAGTTTTCTTGAAGTTGGCATTGGCTGTGAAAGAAGTTCATGACAAAGGATACGTACATAACGATATCAAACCTGATAACATCATTGTTTCAGGATCCTTCGCTAATTATAGAGTATCTATAATTGATTTTGGAAGAGCTAGACGAGATGGAGAAGTAATTGAGACTTTTGCTTCTCCTGATCCTGAACGATTCCCACATGCAGCTCCTGAAGTGGCCGATGGACAACCTTGTACACCACCTGCCGATGTCTATGCAATGGGCAAAATGTACATGGATATTAGAACAAAATTTGATGAAATTCCCCAGGAACTTGAAACGCTAGCAGAGCAGGCCAGGCAAAGTGACCCTATGAAACGCCCTTCCCTCTTGGACATCATTGCTCAAATCCAAAACATCATCAAATGTTTGAAGCCCTCCAAGAGAGAAGTCCCTGACCAAACCAAGACCAAATTCTGGACAGAAGTTCCTGGCCAGGCTAAGACAAAGTTCTGGACACAGGTCCCTGGCCAGAACAAGACAAAGAAGACCCACAGTGCTGTCTCCAACCATATCAAACCAGTTAGCATGGTAGCAGAAGCAAGGCGGTCTGCAGCCGAGAAGAGTCGTGCCAGAGCCAGAGCATGGAAAAGGGCCGAAGGTTCCATAAAATGAACATCTAGTAGGTGTAGGATTTATAAAAAAAAAAAAAAAAAAAAAAAAAAAAAAAAAAAAAAAAAAAAAGGAACTCGAAGAGCAGCCACCTCCACGTGGTGAGTTCTGGGTGTTATGTGTGACTGTAAATAATTAATCAGTCATGCAAAATAGCTGAGAACTGCTCACTTTACCTACATTACATTTATATATATATATATATATATATATATATATATATATATATATTATATATATATATATATATATATACATATATTTATATATATATATATATATATATATATATATATATATATATATATATATATATATATATATATATATATATATATATATATATATATATTATATATATATACATATATATATATATATATTATATATATATATATATATATATATATATATATATATATGTATATATATATATATATATATATATATATATATATATATATATATATATATATATATATATATATATATATATATATTACAATAAACCATGGTATTGCCAGATGATGTGTAGTCATGTTTGCTTAGTGTAGTGATGTTAGTGTAATTTAGAGATGGTGGTGAAGCATGGTAGTTGTAGTGTTGTGTTTGATAGTGATGGTGTTGTGTAGTGTAGTGATTTGTGTTGTGTTGTGTAGTTATGTGTTGGGTAGTGTAGTGGTGGTGTTATGTGTAGTGTAGTGATGCTTGCATTTAGTGTAGTGATGGTATTGTGTATTATAGTGATAATGAACATATGAAATATAAGAACATAAGAAAAAACGAACAGTGGAACAGGCCTACTGGCCTATGTGAGGCAGGTCCAGTTCTCCCACCGGCTTAAGCCAATGACTTGACATACATAGTGAGGTCAGACACATCACTTGAGGAGCACTGCATCCAACCTAGTAGAACAAGCCAGTCAGGTCCAGTTCACATCCACCCACACCCACTCATGTATTTATCCAACCTATTTTTAAAACTAGACAACGTCGGCATGGTTGTTTGGTTTTACTTTATGATGGTATTATGTAGTGATGGTGGCACAATCTACTGATGGTGTAGTGTGGGGATTTTGTTGTTGTGAACTGATAATGTTGTAAAGTGATGAAATAATTTAGGGATGATGGTGTAGTTCAGTGATGGTGTTTTGTAGTGATGGCTGTGAAGTATAGCTATCCTTGTATGATGCAGTGATTTTTATTGTATATGGACTGTTGTACAATGTAGTAATAGTAGTGTAATGACTAGTGGCATTGTGTAATGATGGTATAATGTGGTGATGGCAATATAGTGTGGTGGTAGAACTTTAGTATAGAAAAGTGTAATGATTGTGTAGTGTAGTGTAGTGATAGTAGTGTATATTAGATACCATGATGTAGGGTAAGGTAGTGATTGTGTAGTGTAATGATGGTGTAGTGTAATGACAGTGGTGTAATGGTATGATGGTGGTATAGGGTAAGGTGGTGATGGTGGTGTAGTGTAATGACAGTGGTGTAATGGTATGATGTGGGGTTTATAGGGTAAGGTGGTGATGGTGGTGTAGTGTAATGACAGTGGTGTAATGGTATTATGGAGGTGTAGTGTAATGATGGTGGTGTAGTATTATGATAGTGGTGTAGTGTAATGATAAAGGTTGTAGTGTTTTATGAAGGTGGAGTAGTGTTATAATAGTGGTGTAGTGTTATGATAGTAGTGTAGTGTTATGATAGTAGTGTAGTGTTATGAGAGTGGTGTAGTGTTATGATAGTAGTGTAGTGTTATGAGAGTGGTGTAGTGTTATGATAGTAGTGTAGTGTTATGATAGTGGTGTAGTGTTAAGATAGTTTGTAGGGTTATGAGAGTGGTGTAGTGTTAAATAGTGGTGTAGTGTTATGATAGTGGTGTAGTGTTATATAGTGGTTTAGTGTTAAGATAGTGGTGTAGGGTTATGAGAGTGGTGTAGTGTTAAAATAGTGGTGTAGGGTTATGATAGTGGTGTAGTGTTATGTTTAGTGGTGTAGGGTTATGATAGTGGTGTAGTGTTATGATAGTGGTGTAGTGTTAAGATAGTGGTGTAGGGTTATGATAGTCATGTAGTGTTATGATAGTGGTGTAGTGTTAAGATAGTGGTGTAGGGTTATGATAGTCAAGTAGTGTTATGAGAGTGGTGTATTGTTATGATGACAAATTTACTGATGTTATTCAACAAAGCATTTGAGGCAGTAGACAACGATCAAGAATATGAGGTTGTGTATCTGGTTGTCAGTAAGGCCTTCGACAGAGTGCCTCATGGTCATGGTCTAGAAGGTTAAGTTCTAAGAAACATGGATCCAGGTATGGCTTACTAATAGAAAGCAGAGAGTTTCTGTCAGTATGGCAAATCTGAGTGGGGACCAGTTACTGATGGCGTTCCACAAGGATCAGTTTTAATCCCATTGTTATTCATTATTTACATTAATAACCATGATGAAGGAATCTGCTAATGAGACAAAAATAGGCCGAATGATTAATACTGTGGAGGATACCAATGAACTCCAGGAGGATTTGGACAAATTAATATCTTGGTTTGAAATGTGCTAGATGCAGTTCAATGTGGACAAGTGTAAAGGCCTAATCTTTGTGATCAAAAATAAGCCTGGAAGTTATAAACTAGGTGATGTAGAGCTTGATCACCCAGAATGTGAAAAAGACTTGGGAGTCATGGTAAGCAGAAACCTAAAGCCAAGAAAACAGTGTCTAAGTGTGCACAATAAGGCTGACATCACTAGGTTTTATTTCTAAAAGTATAAGTAACAGGAGTCCAAAAGTTATTTTACAGCTCTATACCTCACTAGTGAGACCTTAGATTATGCCGCTCAGTTTTGGTCTCCTTACTACAGAATGGATTTAAATTCATTGGAGAACATGTAAAGAAGGATGATAAAGACGATTCACTCTACAAGGAATCTCCCGCATGAATATAGACTTAGAGCTTTTAATCTTCACTATCTTGAGAGACGTAGAATGAGAGGAGATATCATCGCAGTGTATAAGTGGAAGATAAGCATAAGCAAATGCAATATTATAAGAAATAATTATCTTGTTACTTTTTATTAAATTACTGGTATGTATCTAATGAGGTTCATCCAGGTAAATTTAATTTTCCACAGCGTGGAACAGTCTTCCGAGTAGGGTAATCCAAGCTGGGACACTGGGTAGCTCGAAAAAAGAAGTTTGACAAATATATGAGTGGGAAGGGCTGGGTTTGATTGGTGTCTGGGGTACAGGAGTAAATTCTTGGGTTGATTTGAGGAAAAGTTGGGCAAATTCATGATGATTTTGATAATCACCTGCCTTATATGGGCCAGTAGGCCTGCTGCAATGTTCTTCCATTCTTCTGTTCTTATTCTTTCACTTGTAAACTCTCCTTGCCATTGCCGGGTCATGACTCTGTACTCCTGTCTGAGAGTACAGTCATACACAGGCATAGATTTAATCACACAAACAAACACAACTTCGAGACCTACTAGTACTTGACGATCTGTCTGCGGGTGTCCGGGAGAAGGACTTCGTACTGCCCCTCAGCGTTATCTCCGTCGCAGGACTCCTTGTGGCTGTAGGAGTTACCACTCTCAGGGTCTTCCACAGCGTACTCGGTGTACTTCGCCTGAAGCGAACAACAAATATGTAAACCACGTTCAAACAGGATGCACATAGTAACATAGTATGCTGCTACCAACATGGTGTTGATAATATATATATATATTATTTATATATATATATTTTAACAAGTTGACCGGGTTGGTCAGTTAAAGAGCTGAGGATACTGACTCACTTTTGAAAGATTCATGTGTTTGTGCAAGTATCTGTAGATACATGTTTGTGGATATATGTGTTTCTACATACATGTGTATGTAAGTGGATGTGTATGTAGATAAATGTGTATGTAGATACATGTTTATGGATATATGTGTGTTTCCACATACATGTATTTATAGATACACGAGTTTGTAGATACATGCATTTCTAGATACATGTGTTTGTAGATATATATATTTCTAGATAAATGTGTTTTTAGATACATGTACTTGTTGATAAATGTATTTGAAGATTCATGTATTTGCTCATACATGTGTTTGTTGATACATGTTAAATCACAAGTATCTACAAATACATGTGTTTGAAAAGGCATATGTTTGTAGATGCACGTGTTTGTAGATACTCACTGGTGGATATTGTTCTTCTTGTGGGCGAGCAGCAGTCAGCACCACCAGGGCAGCCAGCAGGATCACCTGGGTAATGTAAACACAGACGGTATTAATCACCCATCACCAGCATTTAATTACTGTAAAGCAACACTTAGCAATGAAGCGATTTCCCTCAACCTGACTGGACAAACTAGGCTGAGACTACTAGATGGAGCCTCAACCCACTCTTGGAGTTAATTGACCCACACGGATGGAGCCTCAGGCCGCTCTTAGAGCTGTTTGACCCACACGGACGGAGCCTCAACCCGCTCTTAGAGCTGGTTGACCCACACGGACGGAGCCTCAACCCGCTCTTAGAGCTGGTTGACCCACACGGACGGAGCCTCAACCCGCTCTTAGAGCTGGTTGACCCACACGGACGGAGCCTCAACCCGCTCTTATAGCTGGTTGATCCACACGGACGGAGCCTCAACCCGCTCTTAGAGCTGGTTGACCCACACGGACGGAGCCTCAACCTTCTCATAGAGCTGGTTGATCCACAAGGACGGAGGAGCGAGCATTCAACGCTCTCTGAGCTGTATAACTCATTCGGGTTTAAGGCTTCAACGAATGCAATGTAACTTGCAGTCAGTCTGTGTCTCTTGAGGAAAGTTCACTGTCCTTACTTGTTCAGTATCCTTACTTGTCCAGTATCTTTACTTGTTCAGTATCCTTGCTTGTTCAGTATCCTTACTTGTTCAGTATCCTTGCTTGTTCAGTATCCTTACTTGTTAAGTATCCTTACTTGTTCAGTATCCTTGTTCAGTATCCTTACTTGTTCAGTATCCTTACTTGTTCAGTATCCTTACTTGTTCAGTATCCTTGCTTGTTCAGTATCCTTACTTGTTCAGTATCCTTACTTGGTCACTATTCTTACTTGTTCACTATATTTGTTAACTATCCTTACTTGCTCACTATACTCGTTCACTATCCTGACTTGTTCACTATCCTTATTTGTTCACTATACTTGCTCACTATACTTGTTCACTATCCTCACTTGTTCACTACTTTTACTTGTTCACTATACTTGTTCACTATCCTTACTTGTTCACTATACTTGCTCACTATACTTGTTCACTATCCTTACTTGTTCACTATAATTGTTCACTATCCTCACTATCCTTACTTGTTCACTATCCTTACACAAATAACCCGCACATAAAAGAGAGAAGCTTACGACGACGTTTCGGTCCGACTTGGACCATTTACAAAGTCACACTAACCAGAAGTGGAGCAGGACGGCTATATATAGGCAGGAAGAGGTGGTGGTAGAAGTAGTAGTAGTACAAGAATGGTATATAATACCGACAAGATGAAATTAAGACACATGCGCAACACCCGGGCATCTCTTTCGTAGACGCATCGCCATCCAGCCAGCCACTGGATGGCGAAACGTCCATTCTTGTACTACTACTACTACTACCACCACCCCTTTCCCGCCTATATATAGCCGTCCCGCTCCATTCTGGTTAGTGTGACTTGTAAATGGTCCAAGTCGGACCGAAACGTCGTCGTAAGCTTCTCTCTTTTATGTGCGGGTTATTTGTGTATCGTTCCAGTCACGGTATTGTGCATTTTTTTGTTATTCACTATCCTTACTTGTTCACAAGCCTGACTTGTTCACTATCCTGACTTGTTCACTAGCCTGACTTGTTCACTAACCTGACTTTTTCACTATCCTGACTTGTTCACTAACCTGACTTGTTCACTATCCTGACTTGTTCACAAGCCTGACTTGTTCACTATACTGACTTGTTCACAAGCTTAACTTGTTCACTATCCTGACTTGTTCACTAACCTGACTTGTTCACTAGCCCGACTTGTTCACTATCCTGACTTGTTCACTAACCTGACTTGTTCACTAGCCTGACTTGTTTACTATCCTGACTTGTTCACTAACCTGACTTGTTCACTATCCTGACTTGTTCACCAAGCCTGACTTCTTCACTATACTGACTTGTTCACAAAGGGTTGACTTGTTCACTATCCTGACTTGTTCACGACCCTGACTTGTTCACAACCCCTGACTTCGCTACCCTGATTTTCATTTCCTGTTTTTCATACCCGATTTTTCCCTATCTCGACAGAGTTCACTATCTTTTTGCTCACTATCTGGTCTTTGTTCGCTGGGGGGACTAACTGACTGCATACCTTTTAACACCTTCATTGAAGCCCTATCGGCCCCACGGACCTTGACCATTCCAATAAGGTATAGTGAATGAAGACGGTCTCTGGGCCCCTAATTCTTCCTGAACCTCGTCAACGTGTTCAAATTAATTATCTTGTTCATATCTTCAGAGAAGTTGCAAATGATTTGTGTTTGGGTCACTGCGCTATCCCAAAAAATTATCCCCGTATTCCACAAAACCTAGCATCCTCTACCTCGGGTAGCACAAACCAGCCTCCCCTAACCCCAGTTATACACAAGCCTAGCCCCCCCCACTCAGGTACACACAAGCCAGCCAATTCTACCTCGTGTCGCACAAGCCCCCCCCACACCCAGTGTAGGCCAAGCCAGCCCCTTCTACGTCATGTAACACAAGCCTAGCCCCCCACCTCAGTGACACACAAGCCAGCCCGTCTCCTCAGGAAGGCACAAGCCCGCCCCCCCCAAACCCCAGGTTCAAAGTAGCCCCCTCACCCCCAGTGAAACACAAGAGCCCGGGGCTACCCATGTAACCCCAAAAAAGTTTATCAGATAAAAAACCGCCCCCCAAACCCAGTGTCACCAACCCAGCCCCCCTATCGGGCCCGCTGCCCTTACCCAGAAACAAAGCCCCCCCGTTATAGTTGTACAACAAGACCAGTTTATCATGAACCAAGCGCCCCCCCAAAATTCAAAAACCCCGCCCCTTTTCCCCGTGTATACGCCCAGCCCCCTCTACCAGTGTCACACAAGCCCACCCCCCCTACCTCGGTGACACACAAGCCCCCCCACCCCTTTTCACCCCCCCCAGCCCCCTCTACTCAGTGTAAACCCCAAGCCCAGCCTCCTTCCTCGGGTACACACAAGCCCCCAACCCCCTCTACCTCAGAGTACACAAAAGCCCTGCTCCCTTACCTCAGTGTACACACAGGCACTCTCTTCCCCGTTACCACAAACCCACCCCCTTACCTCGTGTACACACAAGCCTGTTCCACTACCTCAGGCACACACAACCCAGTTCTCTCCAGTGTACAAAAAAGCCAGCCTCTCTACCTCAGTTACACACAAAAACCAGCCCCCCCTTCCCCCGTGTACCACAACCCCGCCCCCTACCTCTGTACACACAACCCAGCCCCCTACCCCGTGTACACACAAACCACCCCTCTACCTCAGTGTACACACAAGTCCCCGTCTTCTCCCCAGTAACACAAGCCCCCTTCTCTCCTCAGTGTACACACAACCCAACTCTTCTTCCCCAGTGTACCCAGCCCAACCCCTCTACCTCAGTACACACAAGCCCAACTTCCCCTACCTCATGTACACACAAGCCCCCTCTTCTACCCCAGTGTACACACAACCCAACTCTCTTATTCAGTGTACACACAAGCCCCAATCTCTTACCTCAGGTTTCACAAAAGCCCAACTCTCTCTACCTCATGTACACACAAGCCCAGCTTCTTACCTAATGTCCACAAGCCCCAATCTCTTTACCCCAGTGTACACACAAGCCCACTCTCTCTTCCCAGTGTACCACAAGCCCAACTCTCTCTACCTCAGTGTTTCACACAAGCCAACCTCTCCCTCAGTGTACACAAAGCCCAACTCTTTCCTCAGTGTAACACAAACCCAACTCTCTCTACCCAGTGTACACACAAGCCAACTCTCTCTACCCCAGGTACACAAAGCCCGCTCTCTATACCTCAATGTAACACAACCCAATCTCTCACCTCATGTACACACAAGCCCGCTCTCTTCCCCAGGTACACAAACCCAAAAATCTTCCCACCCCAGTGTACAACCCCAAACCAACTCTCCTTTCCCCCATGTACACACAACCCAAACCCTCTCCTCAGTTACACACAAGGCCAACTCTCTCTACCTCAGTGTAAAACAAACCAATTTCTACCTCAGGTACAACAAACCCAACTCCTCTACCCAGTGTACACACAAGCCCAAATCTCTCTACCTCAGTGTACACACAAGCAAGCTCTCTTACCTCAGTGTACACACAAGCCCCCTTCTCTACCCCAGTGTACACACAAGCCCCCCTCTCTATACCTCATGTACACACAAGCCCCAAATTTTTTTACCTCAGTGTACACACAAAACCCAGCTTTTCCCATACTCAGTGTACACACAAACCCCAAAATCCTTTACCTTGTGTACACCCCAAACCCAACTCTCTTACCTCAGTGTACACCAAGCCCAACTCTTTACCTCGTGTACACCAAGCCAAATCTCCTACCCCCAGTGTACACAAGCCCGTCTTAACCTGGTGTACACACAAGCCAACTTTCCTCCTCAGTGTACCACAACCCAAAACCCCTCTCCTCGTGTACACACAAGCCCAACTCTCTCACCTCAGTGTACACACAAGCCCACTCTCTATACTTCAGTGTACACACAAGCTCAACTCTCTTACCTCAGTGTACCACAAAACCCAACTCTCTCTACCCAGTGTACACACAAGCCCAGCTCTCTATACCTCAGTGTACCACAAGCCCAAACTTCTTCCCCCTTAACCAAGCCCCAACCCCCTTCTACCTCATGTACACACAAGCCCAAACTCTCTACCTCAGTTAACACAAGCCCCCGCTCCTATACCTTTAGGTACACAAAGCCCAAAATCTCTCTACCTAGTGACACACACGTGAGGGCATAAAATTCTTGCACATTAAATTTTAAATTAGATTGTGTGCGTGGTTGTGTGTTGTGTGTGTGTGGTGTGTGTTGTGTGTGTTGTGTGTGTTGTGTGTGTGTGTGCGTGTGTGCGTGTGTGTGTGTGTGTGTGGTTGTGTGCGGTGGATGTGTTGTGTGTTGTGTGTGTGTGTGTGTGTGTGTGTGTGTGGTGTGTGTGTGTGTGTGTGTGGTGTGTGGTGTGTGCGTGTGTGCGTGTGTGCGTGTGTGT